ATGGTGATGACAAAAAAAAGAAAGAAAAAGGATGACGGAGGAGGAGGAGGAGGACAGAAGAAGAAGCAGAAGGAGAGAGAGAGAGAGAGAGAGAGAGAGAGAGAGAGAGAGAGAGAGAGAGAGAGCCCGCCCATCAGTGCGTCAACTGGTGGCGGGATTTCACTGCAGCTTGCCTATGCCGGCATGTGGCAGCTGTCAGCTTCCTGTTGCCGCGTGGCACTTCGCGTACTAAAGGAAACACATGAAATCGGGAGGAGGAGGAGAAAGGAGGAGGAGAGAAGAAGACAAAAGGAGGAGGAGGAGGAGAAAAGGAGACTAAAGGAGGAGGAGGGAGAGGAGGAGAGAAGAAGACGACAGGAGGGGCTGGAGGAGAGAAGAAGACGAACGGAGGAGGAGGAGGAGGAGAAGACGAGAGGAGGAAGAGGAGGAGAAGAAGACAGAGGAGGAGGAGGAGGACCTGCCGGCAGTGTATGGCGATGAAGAAAAAGAAATAGGACGATGGAGGACGTGGAGGAGGAGGAGAGAAGGAGAACACGAAAGCGGAGGAGTAGGAGGAGGAGAGAAGAAAAAGAGGAGAGGAGGAGGAGGAGGAGGAGAGAAGCACAAGACGAAAGGAGGAGGAAAGAAGACAAAGAAGAGGAGAGGAGGAGGGGGAGGAGGACCTGCCGGATTTCAATGGCGATGACCAAAAAAAAAACAAAAAAAGAGGATAACGAAGGAGGAGGAGGAGGAGGAGGAGGAGGAGAAGAGAAGAAGACGAAAGGAGGAGGAAGAGGAGGAGGCGGAGAAGAAGAAGCGGAGGAAAGGAGGAGGAAGAGAGGAGAAGAAGAAGACCGAAGGAGGAGGAGGGGAAGAAGAAGAAGAAGAGGAAGCAGGTGAAGGCGGCTTCACCCCGATGGCGCTGGCCGCTTCACAGGCAGCAACGACGTGGATTCGTTCTTGACGGGGCAGCTCAACTGGGAGCGACGATGGCAGCTCGACGAGGAGGAGCAGCGGCGACGGCGGGCTTGGAGACGGCAGCTACGACCGGCGGGCTTTGTGACGGCAGCTTCGCAGTGGAGGATACCACGTTCGAATTTGAACACGACGCGGTAGGCCAGCATGGGGGGAAGCGAGGTCGTCTTGCCGCTTTCTTGCGGCTGATCGCAGCCGCCGGTCTTTGCAGGTCGGGTGCTGAGATCAGTCGCCGAAGAACCCCTTCCCCCGGCCTCACTTGGGCCTGAGTTCGAAACAAAGTGTTCACGGAGGCCGCGGATGTTACGACTGGGCGAAAAAGGCCTCTCCCCCCCCC